TCCAGGGTGAGTGTTGCACCAGGGCAGGTTTCTTCTCTCTTCTGACCCACAGAGTTAGCCTGAGTGTCTGCTGCCCGCATCACCATGGAAGCATCAGTTTAATGTCACTAAGGACTCTCTTAAAAGTACCTGTAGACTTTGAGACATTGGGCATGTCCTGTGCAGACTGGGCTCAGGCTGACAACAGTGTTAAATCCTGATTCCATTTTAGAGGGAGAGAAATAAGTGAATGGGGGTTTCTTTCTCCCCTCACAGAAGGAATCTTCTGGGTTGGTGCCCAGATGGGAGTTGCTCCCTTGTTTGGTACTTGAATGAAGAACAAGAAGCAGGTCTGGAGATGCAAACTGATAGATAAATCAATGTCCTTCATTTCATCTGGCCATGAGAAAACCAGGTGAAGCAGTCATGGTCTTTAATGTCCAGAAACTTTTGGTATAGACCAAGAGTATAAATGTTTACATTTAGCATCTCATGGTCAGTACCAAGAGGGAGATTTACAGGGGACCTGGGCTTTATTTGCACCACTTCTTATGTTGTTCTGAGTGTTGATGTCACCACTGAACAGCAATTTCTGAATAGAAGAGTTGTTGTTATTTCTTTTGCTTTTACCTAGGTAACAATTAATATTATGCTTATATAATTTTCCTAGAAAACCTTATGTGTTTGGGTTAAGTTGTTTGTTATAAAATAGATAAGGATAGGGTTTAAAATATTAAAATCAGGTAAGGCATGATAGTCCATGCCTATAATATTAGCACTCTGGGAGGCCAAGGCAGGAGGATGCTTGATCTCAGAAGTCCAAGACCAGCCTAAGCAAGAGGGAAACCTCATTTCTACTAAAAAATAGAAAAATTAGTTGGGTATCATGGCACATGCCTGTAGTCCCAACTACTCAGGAGGCTGGTGCAAGGAAGTTTGAGGTTGCAGTGAGCTATGATGACTCCACTGCACTCTACCTAGGGTCAGAGAGCGACATTCTGTCTCAAAAACAAATGAGTAAAGAAATAAATGAAACTCTGGGAATCAAATTTCTGTTGGGCAGGCTTAGGAAAGGCAGTACTGAAAACAAGCCAGCAGTATAGAGATGAGAAGACTGGGGCCTGCTCCCAGCCTCAGCCCTGCCCTGATCCACCATAATCTGAGCCTGGTCCAAGCTTGGACCCACCCTGAAATATCCCCTCACAGAACTGACTAGAAGAAATTGGACTGTTTTGCATAGGTGCTCCTGCTGTCTTCCCAAAGCTAGTACTCACAAGTTTTTAAAACACCAAAGTAGGTAAATTTAAACAAAGGACAAATTTTGGGAGCCTTATTTTTTCCTCATTGATACCTATGTTTTTAAAGACATTCTACTTAACAACTTGTTTTACATTCCTGCGGATCTAGCAGTTGCTCTACAAGTTTTAAGAAGGAAAATACAAACATAACAATAACAAATCCTTCTGAAGTACATCCCACCCCTTTCTGTATGTCTCCTGTCTGTGTGTAGATAGCTTTCATTTTATATATTTTCCTCTTTAAGTCAGTGATTGGGAAACAGAAAGGAAGTGCAAAGACTGTTTCTTTCATCTGAATCCTGCCTGGAATTTGGGGACATTTATTGTCTCGCTCCCAGGGTATTATTGTGAAGATTAACTCACACACTGTGATGTTCCCAGCACAGCCCTCTGTAACATACTTGAGAGCACCTGACACCTGCTCAGAACACACCACATCTTTTTTTTTCTTTTCTTTACTTTTTTTTGTCTTTTTTTTTTTTTTGGCTGTATTGTACATGTACTTGTAAGGGAGAATATACCACATTAACACATGTGTACATGTCGTTTTCCGAATGTGGGCTCACTCAGATATTGCTGCTTTCTCCAGCCTTCTGCAGACTTTGGCCATCAAAGAGTGTAATCTTTCATCACAGCATTTGTGTCATGATAAGAGTGTTGGGTGTAAGGGACTGTGTGCTATGCCTGCTGTATCTAACTGAGTGCTACTGATAATGGGCTAGGGAGAGCATCGCCTGCATTAACAGGGACTTGTTATAAAATCCAATTCGTAAACTCCTTCCAAACCTACAGAAGCACATTACATAGAGTAGGGCCTAAAATCCCAAATGATTTATATGCACATTGAAGGTTGAGAGACAAGACTTAGCTAAGAGGTTCTCAGCCCAGGCTTCCAGTTAGGGTCACATGGCCAATTTGAAGACACGCCATCACCTGCGCCCTCCCCACCGATTCTGTTTTCTCCGATTAGATTCAGATTATGGTTTAATTTTTCCCACTCATATCACGGTGGTGATTACGGTCCATCTGTGTTTATTGACACCTGATACCAATTTGTCCCAATACAGCTGATGGTAATTTTATTCTCTTGCTCTCTGTAAGATTCCTTCACTATAAAGTTTATTATTTTTCTCTTTGTCATTAATGCCATCTTGGAGGATTTTACTGAGTGATATGTATAAACCATCACATTTAATGCAAAATCTCCCCTTTCTTTTTAGTTTACATTTCTTTGCAGCTTGTTTTGCAGAATACAGGCTTTCATATTTCATGACTGGAGATACTGCTTTTGCTATTGGGAGATTTAAAACAGGCCTCAGTCTTACAGGTTTCCTTTTTTTTTTCTCCCCTCATGTTACAAACAAGTTTCTTTATTCTCTGTATTTTTAAAGGCAAGGAATAAGAATGAACATATAAGTAATATATTTAAACATCTTAAAACTTTATAACAAACAGGGCACATAAAATAAAACAAAAATGGAAAGAAAAGGCTCAGGAAAAATAGCTCTTATTTCTGCTTATATGATTGTCTGTAGTGGTCTCAATAGTATGCCTAGAAACATCAACACATACAGATACAGGCTGCTGTCAAACAAAAAAAAAAAGAAACATCAACATAGATTTCTAAATCTTTTACAATTAAATATCTTTTTTTTAGAAAAAGGTTCTACTTTATCACATTTACTATGTATATAGTTACCATATCTATGTATTTGTGTGTATAAAATGTAAGTATTTATAAATAAATTTAAAAAAAGAATATAGGAAAAAAAATGTAAGTAATTGATCAATGTTGTGTTGCTGCCTTCTTAACTTGTCTTCATTACTCTTCTTAGTTATGAAATCTGCTGTGAACATTCAATTGGGGTTGTCTGTGTAGAGTGGCCTGTATGTCCCTTTGAGATAAATTCTAACTCGATAAAATGGGTTAAAAAAATGAGCTCTACTGTTTCTTGGATAATTGGCAAAATACTCTCAAAATAATAGTATTATTTTTTGTCATAGATTAGTTTTGTGGTTTTAAGCATTAATATATGAAAAACTGCTGGAATGACACCTGGTATTTAAAAAGGATGGCTGCTTTCCTTGCTATTATGTTATAGTTTGTATACTTCATAATACTCTCAATTCCACACCATTCATGATTTCTTCCCTCAGAATTCTACCTCTGTCCTTTCCAAAGGTGTGGCTTTTAGACCTGAGGCATTGTCGTCACTGGTGAGCTTGTTAGAAATGCATATCCGGGGCTCACCCAGATCTCCTGAATCAGAATCTACCTTACAACAAGATGTTCAGTTCATTAGTGTTTCCATTAAAAATTGAGAAATATGCTTATAAGTCACCATGGCCTTTTCATCTGAGGAATTGATAAAACAGATTCTGTAAGATATAAATATATCACTCAAAACTGTATATTGTTGTGTTGATGTGTAGTTTTATAGTCTATACAAACATAGTATCTGCATTAATTTTGTACATCTAATGTCATTCTCTTTCCACATAAGTAGAGAATGCCTGAAGAAATATTAGGGTGTTAAAATGTATGTTCTTGTGTAATTCAGGTCCCTCATATATATCAGGGCCAGTAGTCTTTTTTTTTTTTTGACAGAGTCTCACTCTATTGCCCGGGCTAGAGTGCCCTGGCATCAGCCTAGCTCACAGAAACCTCAAACTCCTGAGTTCAAGCAGTCCTCCTGCCTCAGCCTCCTGACTAGCTGGGACTAGAGGCATGCGCCACTATGCCCGGCTGATTTTCTCTATATAATTTTAGTTGTCCAGCTAATTTCTTTCTATTTTTTTAGTAGAGATGGGGTCTCGCTCTTGCTGAGGCTGGTCTCAAACTCTTGAACTCAAACAGTCCGTCTGCCCTGGCCACTCAGTGCTAGGATTACAAGCTTGAGCCACTGTCTTAATGTCTGCATTTTATCTTGAATCAAATTAAAAACTGCCCATGGTGACATGATCATTTATTCATTTTTGATTTTTATTCAGGGACTGTTAACAGTTATGTGGACATAGAATTCTCTCTGGAGGAGATGGAATACCTGAACCTTAAGAAGTCTTCCCAAATCTACATGGTGAATGTATTTTATTTAATTTACTTTATTTTTTCAGTGATGTGGCCATAGACTTTTCTCCAGAGGAGTGGGAATACCTGGACACTGCTCAGCGGAATTTGTACAGGGATGTGATGTTGGAGACCTATAGAAACCTGGTCTCTGTCGGTGAGAATTACTTACCTCCAGCATATCTAATATACCTCAAGGCTTTCATTTCTTTTCTTTTTAGAATCTGTTTTGGGAGCTTGTGCATTGATTATATCAATGAGTTTAAGATTCCTAGTTTCAGGGGAAAAAATTGGGGGCTTTTTAATGTAAAAAAAAAAAAAGTCTTTTTTTTTTTTTCTTTTTTCAGGTGGTTTGATAGTTTCACTCTACCATAGTGGTGACTCTAGAAATTCAGTGATGTAAAATATTGTTGCCACACCTTAAAATCATATTTCTCCTTTTTATTGTTGATTCAGTCATACTTGAAAGTAAAGCACTGGATCAACAAGTTTAAAATGCTTCTCAAATATTCTGCAGGAGTTGTCAGGAAATAGTATTTAGGAAAATAATTTTCTAGAGTTTTGTATAAGATTGTCTCTTCTCTCCTGACTACAATACTAAGTTCAAGATTGAAGAATCCCATACAAAATTCATGTGCCTTTTTCTAATAAAATAGAACTTGCTGTCTCTAAGCTGCATGTGGTCACCTTTTTGAAACAAATGAAAGAGTCCTGGAATGTGAAGAGAGAGGACACAGTAGCCAAACAGCCAGGTAGGTGGTAGTGCATGCAGCAGATAACACAGGTGAGAGGTTCAAAGGTCATGGAGGAAGCCAGACCTTAACGTGTGGTCTCAGAAGCTCTGGCACAATGAAACTAATTTTTGAGAAACCTAAGTTTGTTTCTCTTGCTCTCATAGAAGGACATGTTCTTTCTCGTGTTCTTAAACTATCTGAGCATTGATTGTCCTTAAGACTGTGAAAAATTTTATCTGAGGATTCCCTTTGCTCTTCACTGATCCTCCATCAAATTCACAGTGAGAGTCAAAGTCCTCCCCTTGGAGTGTGAGGGGCTATGCTATCTTGTCATCCATTCCCTTGGGGGCCTGGAAAAATCTGCATGTGGCTCACTACCTGTATATTAAACTATTTTTCAACTTCTCCTCGGGTCTTTTATCTACTTTTATCTCCTCGGGTTCTTTACACAATTTAAGTCAGATTTACTCTTTTTTGTCTTATTGCGTTGTTTGAGATTCTTATATTTTAAATATTATATTCATCGTGTACATTTTCTCCCAATTCTTGGGTTACTCTTTTGTGATCTTATTTTTTCCTTTGCTGTGCAGAAAGCTTTTAGTTTGATGTGGTCTTTTTTTGGGGTTTTGCTTTTGTGGTTTGTACTTTTTCCGTGTGATTTAAAAAAAACCATCAAGGCTAATGTCAAAGGGATTGTTTTCTATGCTTTATTCTAGAAGTTATATAGTTTGTGGTACTACACTTGATATTAATCCATTTTGAGTTAATAGTTGTGTATGGTATTAATGTCCGATTTCATTCTTGTGCATGGGGATAGCACTTTTTATCATTTATCGAAGACACTATACTTTCTCCTTTGTGTATCTTGGTGTCCTTATCAAAAACTAGTTGTATACTCATGTCTTTATTTCTGCTTTTTCTGTTCTTTTCCTCGGTCTGTTTCTCTGTTTTCATATCAGTACCATACTCTTTGTTAGTATAGCTTAATAATAGTCTCAAATCAACAAGTGGGAAGACACCATAAAACATTAAAGGATCAAAATTTGTTGAAAATTATGTGGCAGATTTAAAGTTGAGCTGTTATAATAGGAAATTACTGGGCATTCTTAATACCTGAACAAATATACGCAGGAAAAGGAAGTAACATTGCACTTTATAAGCACTGTAGCATAAGTGGAACATGCACTGCCTTAAATAAAACTGTTTAAAATTAGAAAAAAAACAAGAGTGGGTCTGATGCGGTGGCTCAGGCCTATAATTCTAGCACTCTGGCAGGCCAAGGCTGGATTGCTCAAGGTCAGGAGTTGGAAACGAGCCAGAGCAAGAGTGAGACCCGTCTCTGCTAAAAAGAGAAATAAATTAATTGGCCAACTAAAAATATATAGAAAAAATTAGCCGGGCAAGGTGGCAAATGCCTGTAGTCCCAGCTACTCGGGAGGCTGAGGCAGGATGGCTTGAGCCCTGGAGTTTGAGGTTGCTGTGAGCTAGCTAGGCTGATGCCAAGGCACTCTACCCTAGGCAACAAAGTGAGAGTCTGTCAAAAAAAAAAACACAAAAAACACCCTATAAAAGAAAAAACAAGAATGAAAACTCCAGCTTTGTTCTCTCAAGATTTTGTTGGCTATTTGGGGTCATTTGTGATGTCTTAGAATTTTTTCAATTCTTTACTATTTCTGTGAAAAACACCATTCAAATTTCAATAGAAATTAAATAAAGATTGCATATTGCTTTGTATAGTAGGCACATTTTATATTATTCCAGTTCATGAACAAGGGATATCTTCATTTATTTGCATATTCTTCATTACATTTATTAATGGCAGATTTTACTGAACAAATCTTTCACCATTGTTAAGTCTTGAAAGTTTATAGTATTTAATTGTATTGTAAGTGGCATTGTTTCTTTAACATTTTTTTCTGAGATAGTTTATTGTTGTTGTGTAGAAATGAAACTGAGGTTTGAATGTTCATTTGTGACCTACAACTTTAGTGAATGTGTGTATTAGCTCTAACTCTTTTGATATAATCTTTATGGTTTTCTATAGGTATGATCTCTCTTCATCTACAAGCATTGAGAATTTTACTTATTCATTTCTCATTTGAATGCCTTTCGTTTCTTTTTCTTACCTAATTGCTTTGGCTTGATCTTTTAGTACTATGTTGAATAAAAGTAATGAGATGATTATCTTCCTCTAATTTCTGGTACTAGGGAGAAAACTTCTAGCATTTCACTATTTAGGGAAATGGTTCCTGGAGCCTTTTTATATATATGACCTTTATTATGTTGATATATATATCTTTGTATATTGTTTCTAGTTTTTATTGTGAACGTGTATTAAATTTTGTGAAATGCTTTTAGTCCTTATTGATTTGTATATGTTAAATATCTTTGCATCCCAAGTATAAATTCTACTTTTCATGGTGTGTGATCCTTTTAATGTAATGATTAATGTGATATCTAGTACTTTGTTAAGAATTTCTGCTTTTGTCATCATCAGAGATAAAGGTTTATGGTTTTCTTTCTTGTAGTGTCCTTATCTGGCTTCAGTATGAGGGTAATGATGGCCTCATAGCATGAGTTTGGAGGTTTCTCTCCCTTCATTTTTTTTTTTTTCTTCTTTTTTTTTTGAGACAAAGTCTCACTTTGTTGCCCAGGCTAGAGTGAGTGCCATGGCGTCAGCCTGGCTCACAGCAACCTCAAACTATGGGCTGAAGCGATCCTCCTGCCTCAGCCTCCCGAATAGTTGGGACTACAGGCATGCGCCACCATGCCCGGCTAATTTTCTTTTTGTGTATATATTAGTTGGCCAATTAATTTCTTTCTATCTATAGTAGAGACGGGATCTCGCTCTTGCTCAGGCTGGTTTCGAACTCCTGACCTCGAGCTATCCACCCGCCTTGGCCTCCCAGAGTGCTAGGATTACAGGCCACCCCACCCAGCCCTCCCTTCAATTTTTTGTAGTAATTTGGGTAGGATTGATTCATTGTTTTTAAACGTTTGATAAAATTCTCCTGTTAAGGGGTCTTCCAGTCTTGGGCTTCACTTTGTTAGGAAATTTATTACTGCTTCAATGTCTTTCCTCAGTATTGATTTGCTCAGTATTTCTACATAATGATTTAATCTTGGTGGGATTTTCTTTGGAAATGTATGTATTTATTTATTTATTTTTGAGACATAGTCTCACTCTGTTGCCCAAGCTAGTATGCTATAGCGTAACCTGGTTGTGCTCTGGCTCTGTCAAAATGGTCCTCCTCAATCTTGGGTCCACCAGGGTGTTACAAACTCTGACATGGAATTCAAAACTCCCATAAAGGCTGCTTTGTGTGGGGCCATTATGCAGTGAGGGACTGACCCATTATGCTGTGGGGGACTGTCCCATTATGCTGTAAGGGACTGTCCCATTATGCTGTGGGGGACATGAGAGGAAGACCTCTTTTTCCGTTATCTTGCTCATGTTACTCTCCTGTATGTTTCACTTTCTGAAATGTATGTCAAATTGGTCCGTGGTTCTTAGATTCCAATGTTCTGAAATAAAATGCTCCCTTTACATATTATGTAAGAAGTAAATTAGATTACTAGTTGACACCACACATTAAAGTGTTTGGTTTTAAGTTCAAGGTTGTTGAAGGCAATAAGAAATCATTAAAATGTATATTCATTTTTATCAGCCTATATTTAAATGATACTATAATTTAATCCCAGATATTTACTTCTTATCTTAGTAATTCACACCATATTTTATATATTCTTTGTTTCTTTATTTATAAATGTTAAGCTTTTCTTAGCTTCAAAATGGTATATTTTTGCTGCTATATTTTATGTAAAAATATCACCAGTCTTCATGAAAGCATATACTTTTAAAATTTAGATAATCAAAAGTATTACTTTTCTTGAGACAGGGTCAATCTATTGCTAAATAATTATTTTTTAATGGTACATCTATGTTATCTTTAGTACTTTATGCATTAAAATTTCTCTTGTTCTTGTTGTCAAGCCCATAACAGTCTGTTTCTTTTTTGGGTATATGTTTTCTCAATGAGTACTTTTTTTTTTTTTTTTAAATTTTCACCTGAATATTATAAACTGGATTATAATTTTCAACTCTCTATACTTTACGATGATGTGGTGTGTGGTTTATATATGCATTAGTCATATGGCTGTTGACTCTAACAATATCTGTATTTTTGCCTTTATAAATATTGCTCTTATATGTTCAGACTTATATTGTTCACACTTTTTTTGGACTTCTGTGTGTGTTGGTTGTCAGTGATTGTTTTATCCTGTCTAGGGGAGTAGTGAAGGAAATAGTCATAAATTCACAATGTATTTCTTGTTTGAATCTATATTATTAACATTTTGTGAGAAAAACACTTGATATTTAAAGATGATGTTTGAAAATTTACTTAATTATCTGTCTTAGGTTGTCAGATTTTTAATTGTGGTAAAATACATAAAAGTGTCATATCAAACAGTTTTAAGTGTACAGTTTAGTAGTGTTAAGTATATTCAAATAGTTTTTCAACAGATTTCTAGTCACTTTTATCTTCCAAATGTAAAAGTGAATAGCAATTAAACAACAAATTATCCTTTCCACTTCTCTCTAGCTCATGAAGAACATCATTCTACTTTTTCTATGAGTTTGATTAGTTTAGATATCTTACATCATATCATGGTATCTGTTTCTGTTTGACTATCTTAGTTTACTTATCATAATATCCTCGAGGTTTGCTCTTACTGTAATATGTGTCAAGATGACCTTTTTAAGGCTAAATAATATTCCATTGTGTGTATATGCCACATTTCTTTTATCTACTCATCAATAAAGTTAGATTTGGTTTACTTACATGTATTATCTTTAGTGAATAATGCTGTAGTGTACGTAAATGTGCTAATATCTATTCCATGGTTTGCTTTGAATATGTTTGAGATATTTTGGATACACTTATGTAGTACCATGTGCATCTCTGGCCTAATCCTTTGATGTTATATCCAAGAAATCACTCCAAAGACTAATTGTA